TACAGCTCGCATACCTCAATGGATGCAGGTTGGTTGCATCATACGTACACTGTGCTCACGGAAATGGGCTTTCATGATTAGAATACTTCATTGGGGCTTCACCAATTACCATGGTGGATAAAACGCCGTATTACACGTTTTACATGGCCACCACTAGTAACACGGTAAATATTATTAAAAAACATATGAAAATCTGTTCGCATCTCATACGACTACGGCATAGAAGTATACACAAAAACTCAATGCACTAATGACGCACATGAGGCCAGCAGGCATGAACTTGCGGGTTTTCACGTACCTAGAAGAGATAACTCCAAAGCTGCACACTGAGTTGCCCCACCTTGAATAGAAAAATACAGTGAGTATCAGCGCGATGGCAGCCAGACAGAATAGGCCTGTTAGATTATCATAGGAAGAGCCAAGTTCCGCTGCAGCAAACACCAGCACACCAGAGAGGGTACCGGCGATCAGAGATGGCTTGCTCTTGGCTTGGACGAAACCGATGGCCTAGCAGGAGAACAAACGAAGAGGTTTACTATTCAATTCCTGGGGGAAAGGACGATACAAGGCAAAGTCGAAAATTCCACGTAGTGATTCAGAACAATAACACATAGACTTAGTGACGAGTTATCATATGCTGTACGACTCAATGGACCGTCCAAGGAACACAATAGCCGTTGGGGTTCACATCGACTACCCCCTCCAGGCACACGAATACAATCGAAGTCTTACCCCGCCAACGATGAGTAGTAGGGCGTAGAAGAAAGCCTCGTCAAACGCGAATGCGACGGCACTCATATCACCAACGGATAACGCTGCATTCACCCCACCAGTTTTCATAACTATATTAAACCAGAACTCCGAGTAGATAACATATGAAACGCAACTATAAAGCCCTCCTAGCGTTAATCGCATGGACCATCACTTCTTCTTCTTATCGTTTCTCTTGGCTTCACCAGTACTGCTAGGAGCGGCCACGATGATGATAGCGATGACCACAACGCCGAGTATTGCCATTAGACCACCGGGCATAAACTTGGAGGTCTGCAGGTACCTGCTAGGACCACTCTCCAACTACTCAGACGGGGGCCCTGCCTTTTCATGAAAAAGAGCACTAATGAGCCTATCACGATGAGCTGCACTTTTCGAAGAGCTCCTCGGTACTGCGGCAAGGCCCTAGTCGATAGCGCGAGGCCGCATACCTATAGGGTAACGGGTGGGGTGACTGCCCAAGCTGGGGTTACCTACTAGTGACGCACTGATGGTTCCGGCAATGATGGAGCCCTTGGAAGCTGCCTGTACGTAACCGACTACCTGAAGACGAAAACACTGGGGTTAATGAGAGTAATATGCAGCAGCTTACCCCTCCCACCGCTAGAAGGGCCGAATACACCAGGCTCGCTGAGAAGACGACTGCATCGTCGGGTTTAGACATGATATGTGCTGAAGTG